TTGTATGTACCAACTAAAGTTAATGGAATTAAGGCTAACCTACTAGTCGACACAGGAGCCTCCGACACAGTCTTGTCCTCCAATTTATATTACCAATTACCCAAAGAAAAACGTCCAGAACTTCAGAGAGCAAAGAGGAACCTTCAACAAGCAGATGGGACCTCACTAGAGACCATAGGATGTGCCTACGTAGGACTACAGATTGGTCCGACATTTCAATCGGTTCGAGTAATCTTTGCAAATTTAAAAGTGGCTGGATTACTAGGGATGGATGTTCTCACATCAAGTGGATCTTTATTGGACCTGGGGAAACTCCAGATGAAAATTGGAAGGGAATCAATTAGCTTAACTGGACCCGAAGGTACCAGGTTCAATTCGAACGTGATTATAGAAGATACAACTATGATCTTACCAGGTCATGAACACATACTTACCGGATTTGCGCGAATGTTGACGAGCTGCTCGGTAGTAGGAAAAGTGGAACCTAACCAAAAAGAGGAGCTGGCTAAGAATGGCCTAATTCTAGCAAGGACAGTAGTGAAGGTTAAAGACGGACAACTGCCGTTACGCGTTTTTAACCCCGGTAAAGAACGACGAGTCCTTCGAGAGGGAACCACAGTTGGCAAGCTAACACCAATATTAGAAGACCAAATCAAATCGACACATACAGGGAAGGAGCCGCCTGTTAGCAGCGGACGAGTACCCGAGCACCTTAGTGATCTGTTGCAGCGGAGCGTGGCATCTATTGACGGAAAATACCACGAACAGGTTGCACCACTTTTGGCCGAATTTCAAGATGTGTTTTCTAGAGGAGATTACGACTTAGCGAGAACTGGCGAAGTAAAACACTACATAAATGTTGGAACGGCACAACCAATTAAGGAACAACCCCGGCGCCAGACGATGGTGGACAGTGAACAGATAAACCAGCAAGTGCAGGACCTGTTAGACAGAGGCCTGATTGAGCATTCGGAGAGCCCATGGGCATCAAATGTTGTCTTGGTCACGAAAAAGGACGGGACGAAGCGCTTTTGCGTGGATTACAGGCGTTTGAATTCAGTTACCATAAAAGATGCCTACCCCATACCTAGGATAAACGACTCACTTGACGCATTTTCAGGAGCCAGGTAGTTTTCCACCTTGGACCTCGCCTCAGGATATTGGCAAGTTGAATTAGATGCCGAGGCGAAAGATAAATCAGCATTTGTAGTGCGTGGGGGCCTGTATTCCTGGAAGGTAATGCCGTTTGGGCTGTGTAACGCTCCATCAACATTTGAGAGACTGATGGAACACATTCTATCTGGATTGCAATGGGATATACTACTGGTGTATTTAGATGACATAATCGTGTATGGGAAAACTGTAGAGGAGGAGATCAACCGCCTTAGGAAAGTCTTTGTTCGATTACGAGGAGCAGGCCTAAAAATTGAAACCAATTAAGTGCACCCTGTTCAAACAGGAAGTCTTGTATCTAGGGCATCGAGTTTCGCATGCCGGAGTGATGACTGACCCGGCTAAAATTGAAGCCATAAAGGAATGGCCTACACCGACCTCAGTCAGAGAAGTACGCAGTTTCTTATGATTAGCCTCGTACTATAGACGTTTCATTAAGGGTTTTGCCGCAATAGCAGCACCACTGTATAAACTAACTGAGAAAGCCAGAAGATTCTCATGGGATACTGACTGTGAGGAAGCTTTTGTGGAACTAAAGGTTCGATTAACAAGGTCACCAGTCTTGGCCTACCCTCTACCGGAGGGACAGTTCATATTGGACACTGATGCGAGTGATGTAGGTATTGGTGGAGTACTCTAAAAAATCCAGGGTGACGAGGAAAGAGTAATCAGCTATGCAAGCCGTACACTGAGTAAATCCGAACGAAATTATTGTACTACACGACGAGAGTTGTTAGCAGTGGTAGTGTACTTAAGGCACCATCGCCAGTATCTTTATGGGCGCCATATTGTGATCAGGACCGATCATGCGTCATTGCGCTGGCTGACGAATTTCAAGGAGCCAGAAGGACAGCTAGCGAGATGGCTACAGGCGATAGGAGAGTA